TTTTGCAAATATGATTTATTCTTAAGCAATATTCTCATCAGTTTTCTATCAGCTGTGACATATAAATCTCCATATTTTATTTATTTTATCCAAGGGCATTTTTTTACCTTTATAGAGGGCATTTTCCCACTAATCTCATTAATACTTTCATTTCAAATTCTTACATTTGATCTATAAATTCAATTATAATAATGCGATTATCTACGTTATCAAATTAAATCATTTACACTGAAAAATACAACTTTTAAATATTTTTGAATATACAAACAAGAAATGATGGCGGAAATGATACTTTTCAACGAAATTAAAACACCAGTAGTGAGCGTTTAATGAGTGAGTCATTGAGTCGTTCATTCAAACGATTCGTTCAAACGGCAGATTCATCAGATGTTTATGCATGGGCTAATGAAACTTTGACTCAACCTATTCGCTCAGAACACGGAATCATTCAGCAATGAACCGGCTGGTTGCTGTTGGATGCGCTGTGTTTCCGCCTAAAATGTAAGTGACCTATATTAGTTTATTTGCTTATTGAACTGTTTATAGAACTATTAAACAGTCGTAATGGTGAATACATTTCGTGATGTTGCCTAACTAACTGTATTTATACACCAAATACACAAAATAATGATCTTTAAAATAGCATCATATGACCCCTTTAATGTCGAGCCCCGGAGTCTGGGGCTCAGCCCCGGACGGCCCGGGCCCAATTTAAACCCTTATTGTAACAGAACAAACATTTCAACAGCTTTATGTGGAATTGACCGTTAAGGTTTTTTTTTTCTTTTTTCATTTATTTACTTATCTTTTAGCTACTTAACATTTTTTGAAAATGTTTGCCTCCAATTTGTTTATGTATTGAATTCATACATCAACTGAATTCATTAAAATGACAACTTATTTTATTAATTTCACAATGTATTTAAATCAAAATATTGACAATACTTGCATTTAACCATACCTGCACTTCTCAAAATCACAGATTTATTTATTTTTATTTTTTTCTGGCACTTAGACTAGCAGATGAAATAAGTGCAGTTATCCATGTATCTGTCATAGAAGTGAAAAGGACCAGTTAGATTCAGGTGTTTTTTTTTAAATGCTCTTTTATTTTTTCCTGATTGTATTGAAGAGTCATCATTACTTTCATCACACAACATGACGTTACATCAAGCCTACTACAGGTATACACTGAAACAAACACAAAGTTTACAATGTATATATGGATATGCTCTCAAAACAGTGAATGTAACATTAATTTTGTTTTTCAAACACCTTCAAACTGTTGTCTGTTGTTTTCTTTTTCTTTTTTCTCCTAAAATACATTTGTCCATTTAAATTTCCCCGCCCACAAATTATATGGAAGCCATATTCTCTTTTTAAAGAGTCTTTTATCTGCATTAACAATCACAACAAGTATAGACCATAGACCAAGAATGTCTCAATACATTTTTTTTACATTTCCGAACAGTCCACATGAGCCAACCACATACACAGTGTGATTTATTTGAATATTTATATGTTTATTTGGTTTCTGTTTATGTCGTGATGCTCTTTTTTAGATGTAATTTACACAAAACAACAGGTCATTTTACACCTTGCTCTGAATGTTTCGTTTGCAGAAGTATAGTACAATTTACATGTTTTACAGATATATTCATGTCCTTTTAACTATGAAAATGGTTGCCAGTGCAACTGAGCAGCAAAGGAGGGGGGAGGGGGGCTGCTTAAGGCCAATGCACTTAACAGGTTATTTTAAAAACAAATTTAGCTGATTATTTTCTTTTTTTCCTTATCTCTTTCTTTGTGCCACATACTTACTCCTACAAGAGTTTAACCTGGTAAAAAGGATCACAATGCATGAATGAGCGAATAAATAAATAGCACAGATAATGGCAGGTGATCTGGTTTCCCTGACATACATCACAGTCAACAGCCCTAATGAATCACAAACCTAGGGTGTTAGAACAAATGGCTTTCTTAGTATTGTAATTAAGCCCTTATAGCGATGCATATATCTCCCCTTGGTGCGTTAACTCTATGCTTTCCTGAGGTGAATAGGATCAAACACACACACAGAAAAAAAACAATCTCTGAGACACAAGACAGAATGATAGCTAATATAGTTCATATTGCAGGCAGTACAAGCAGACTCCTTGATTTGCTTTCCATTGGGTGTTTTGCGTGGTCTATATAGGTGCTATACATTGCTATAACTGCTCATTATACACTCTCTTATATGCCATCTCATATACATTCTAATCCATTTACATAATATAGTGCTATTTATTTAATTTATTTGTCTAATAAAATATGATTTATTCAATTCTGGTATAGTTTTTTTAAAACTATTATTTGAAAAAAATAAATATATCCAAATATATATTTATAAACCAATATAATGTGTGACGTAACTCTATAGCTGTTGGCTGTGTCGTTGGGTTCGCTTGAGTTTCCTCTAAACTCAAGAGCTTTTCTGACCGCACAGATATTACAGTGTGTTAATGCAGTGAAGGGTCCAGACTGGTTTCCCGAAGTCTTCAAACTGTATGATAACTCAAGATTTCCCACAGCCTCTGGGCAACCACAGAGGAGTATAATTTAAGACCAGATAAATGAGCAGCCCTTCAAACACTGCAATAAGCAAACGTGTTTTGTTTAATATTTCTCAAATACAACCTTCTTATATTTTTTTCATGATGTCTGCTTTATTGTTGACATATTTGTAGTATGCTTTATATTTGTAATTTCCTTTTAATAAGTATTGCACAAATAGGCAACTAAGCATCATGAAGGATGGTGACCCCATCATATGCCGTTCATCTAGAAGCAACCATCCATGGATAGTGAGAAATGATTGACATTTATGTTAATCGCTAATTGGCTCCATTTGAAAACAGTGCCACAAAATGGGGAAAATGCCACAAATATGGGAAACAAAATTTCCATTCAGATTACAGTTTCTCTTATACAAACAAATCAGCCCCCAAGTAACATTTTTGAAATTTCTTGGTGTTGATCAGATTTTTTTTTTTTTTTTTGAATGATAACAAATGTAAATGCATACATACACACATCCAAAATCATTCGCACATACCATTAGAACATACAGCAATATCAAGATTCTTTTTTTTTTTTTAGAACATGCAATCTTTACTTGCTTAAAAGTTCCAACATTCCACTAAGCAGCTCCCTTATATTCAACTAGCCTTGTGTTTTTCTTAATTATTATAATTATAAAAAAATATTTTAAAACAAATCGACTGGAGTCATCGCTCTCCGCTGCCTTCATGTACTGTGTTCTGTAGGCCAGGAGGAGCAGGTTCTTTGGAGCTGTCATGCTCAAAGTTGGCTGTTAATATCTTTGGCCATGCTGTTCGGTTAGAACACAGACACAGAATTCCCAAATAATCTGTGAAGAACAGAAAAAAGAAGGCATTACAATCCAATGAAAGACATTTTTTCAAGGTGAAGTGTATAATATCTGTTCCATTGATATAAACAAATGGAATGACAAAAATAATGACTATTTTCCAAACAGGTTCCCCTAACATGCCCCCTCTCTACCATCTGACTCACCCAGTGTACAGTGAACATACTTTTGAGGGGTCAACCTAAGGATGACTTACTTCTGGTTAAATCTGCGTATTACGCTGGGATAAGTGCCAGGAAAAAAATTACACACCTCACCTTGAAATTTTATATTACAGACATTTTATAGGTGGCTTCTATGTTCTGAACGTTGGACCCAAGGAACAGTCTGCTGTTGAACTAGTTTATGTGAAGCATAATGTGAGGCGTCTATGAGACACTGAGTCATTTGTAGCAATGCAAGAAAGTGATGTAACAAAGGTATGAAGAGTTTAATTTTATTGCGTTTTAGATCATATCCTGTCCGGTCCTGTAGTGGAGTGTTGGCAAGATGGAGAAGTTAATGTTACTGTCAGTGATTTCACTGCTCTATTTGATTTGTCTCTGCCAAATACAAGGCAAAGCTGTCGAAAACAAAAGTAACGTTTCCCCTTTAAATTTTAACAATACAATATACTGTATTTCGGTAACACTTTACAATAAGGTTCCATTAGTTAATGTTAGTTAATGTATTAACTAACATGAACAAACCATGAACAGTACATTTATTACAGTATTTATTAGTCTTTGTTAATGTTAGTTAATGAAAATACACTCGTACATTGTTAGTTCATGTTAATTAATTCAGTGCATTAACTAATGTTAACAAGCACAACTGTTGATTTTAATAATGTATTAGTAAATGTTGAAATTAACATTAACTAAGATTAATAAATGCTGTAGAAGTATTGTTCATTCTTAGTTCATGTCAACTAAAGTAGTTAACAAATGTTAACTAATGAACCGTATTGTAAAGTGTTACCTATATTTCTATCATGCCGTTTTTTTTTTGTTTGTTTGTTTTTAATGCAGTTTCATACAATACTCCATAGGAGCTAGCAAAATCATTTAACAATAACAGGTTAATTTGTTTCTTTGGCAGTTCAATAATGATTAAAAGTAGGGGAGATCAAGGTTTGTTGTAATAAGGATGAGTTTTAACATATAAGTTTAACCAATTAGAAACTGTCCAGAGTTTCTAATTGGTTGCATGTCTCTGTAGGAAACTATAAAAGATTTACAGGGCAAAAAAAGTTTGAAGTTCAAATTTTGATTAAAAAAAACAAAAACCATTTATTTGTTGCAGATAGGCGTGAAGAAGAACACTCCCGGGTCTCCACTAATAGCTGTTTCTCACTGTAAATAAACACAAGAGATCTTCACAAATTTCAAAGCTTAGTATTTAAACATATTTTCTAGCAGAGATGGTCGAAACATAATGGAAGGTGTCCCGTCTCTCATTGACTTTGTCACATGTGAATCTGACAGATGTAGATGTAATGAGAGACCTGAGATGACCGAACACCTGAGAAGAGATGATGCAAACCCCTCAGAGGACGCCAACCCTGAAACAACATAAACTACCAAATTTTGCTACAAGTTGGATTGCAACATATAATCATTGCTGTTAATAGTGTTCATTAACTGAATTTGACCATACATTTCTGCCATATGTACATCAATTTGACATAGTCACCACTGACAAGCTACTACTAAACATATTGTAGAAACTTAATTTCCTGTAAAGCTGCTTTGCAACGATTTGTATCGTGAAAAGCACTATACAAATAAACTTGAATTGAAAAATTTCTATTTACACCATGGCCTGTCTCTTTGATATAAACAGTGTTGGGCAAGTTACTTCCAAAATGTAATGCATTTTATATTACTTATTACTATCTTTTGACAGTAATTAGTTACATTACAATATTACTGTTACACTACATTTGAGTTAATTTTGAGTTACTTTCACTTTCAAGCACAAACCGCAATTACATTCAGAAATTATAGCGGTAAATAAAGCGGAATGTTATAAGCCCTAATATAGCTACAAACAATAAACACAACAGCTAGCCTATAGGCTATTTTAGTTCTCCTCACTCCACAATAAAACCTTTAAATTTAACGGTATTCAGAACAAAACGAATGGAAAAATATAAGTTGCAAAACAAGTCAAAACAAATTAATTTAACGCAAAACTGAAAGCAAACGCGTTAGTTCTCACGCAGCCTACCTCTCTCATTCGGCACAAATCCAAATGTTTCCATAGTCGTGATGTATTTGATTGCTAAACTATTATTTATTTTGTAAACCAGGCTTTGTACTTAACGCAGATTGTACTACGGATTATTTTAATTAACGAGTGTCTATATGTTTGGTTGACTGTATATTATTGTCACGAATCCGGTCTATGAACTTCCGTTCACTCACCACCAGAGGTCACCCGCTCACTACATGGACTCTCACACTACACAGACTGTTACACTATACCCTGGACTACATTTCCCATCATTCATTGCAGTGATTGCACACAGCTGTAACCAATCACACGCTCACCTGAAAGCTATTTCACACGCTATATAACATCCACCCAGATCCTGCTCAAGTCGCCGAGTATTGTCTGCGTTTATTACTCTCCTAGTGATAGCACTTTACAGAGCCAGTTCCAGTTTTCCTAGTTTAGTCATAGTCTCGCCTTGCTTGTTTTCCTGTGTTCAGATTCTTGCCTTTGTTTTCGGATTACCCTTTTTGTCTTGCTGTTTCGGACTCTGTTTGCCCCTGCCTGGATTATTGCTATGTACCTGGATTATCTCTCTTTGCCTTGCCCTGTTGGATATTGTTCACCGTCGATCGACCCACGCCTGTTTACTGGACTGCTCTTGTGTTCTGCCCGTGCCATATCTGTTCGCTGGTGTTTCGACCCTGCCTGTGTTTGTGACCACGTCTTTTAATAAAAAGCTTGCATATGGATCCGCACGTCTCTCGTCTCGTCGGCTCCGTTACAATTATTCTGATAACGTTTGCAATGCTGTATTTTGTGTGCGTGAGGCGCCTTCGAGATCGAACAGCGGAAAATACTCCGTAATTTTTGATCATACAGATCATTCGAAACTGCAATGTGTTGACTTTTATTTTATGATGCGCTTTCTGTCATCTCTGTTTCCTTTCCGTGAACTTGTTTGTAGAGTGCCGCCCCACACAAAAATGAACCAAACTCAGCAGCATATACACTCAGTCTTTTCCTTTCATTTTGTTAATCTGTTAAATTATTTGTCAAATATATTTTGCATATGCATTCTTTTTATATATAGACTATAGTTCAATAAAAACTGATTTTGTTATTTTTAGTTAAACTTCATTTCTGTTGCTTGTCCGCACACGTCCGCTGCATTCTTTCTCTCCTCCGACCCTGCAGCTCTCGTGGTTAGTGCTTGTGGCACCAGTCCCGGTGTTTCTTATGCTATTTCTCAATGTTGAGAGTTCGGTGTCGCACATAGATTGCACTTGACTATGCCTTCTTGTCATTTTCTCTGATGAGCTGAAAATAACGGTAGTGTGTCCGTGTCACAGATGTAGAATCCATCTGCAGTCATCTCAACCATGGAATTCCAGCAGCAGGAAATAGACAAACTATTTTACCCGGGAATTTTTTTCTCCAGTGCTGTTTTGCGGTGTTCTTAATTTTGAGTTAAAATATGTTGTTGTAACGTGCGTTACCGAGATTGTAACGAGTATAATATTACCCAAATTGTATTAGTAATGTGTTATATTACTGTGTTACAGGAAAAAGTAATATACTACTGTAATGTCGTTACTTTTGTAACGCGTTACTCCCAAGAGATCTCATTTGAGAGAGCACAGCTTTTTTGTTTGGAATTGCTCCCTGCTCTTATTCACAATATCTTGTTTGGCACTTCATTATTAACTCATTGGTTGACCACTTTTTTCCATTGACTAGTGTAGGAAAAAATAGCTACCTCATGCTCTCTCTGCTCAGACGCAATTTTATGGATGCCCATGAACCACCTCTGCTATGTTGGCCCACAAACACAGTTCAGGGCATTCAGGCCTTGTTAGCAATGCCTTTTCCTCATACCAATTGGAATGTGAATGTGGGAACATGGGTGTGTGCACCTGTCTTCCTCTCCTTTTCCCAGGTGTGACCCGGCATTCAGTTGTTCTAGTGAAGAACTGTACGCTTAATCTCTAGAGTCCTCTAACTCATTGGTTAGAAATGAACATGACCATTGTGCCCTTGGATGACACATTATCGTCACATCCCCAGTCTCAACATTTTCAACTCTCAACTCTATGGCTACTAATAATAATTTGTTATAATAATAATAATAATAATAATAATACAAATAATTTGTCACATTTATATAGTGCTTTTTTAGGCACTCAAACCGCTTTTCATTGTGAGGTGGGATCTCCTCATCTCAGCGTCAACCCCTTCATGGGAAGTCATCTCCATGTGAATAAAGCATGTATTTTAAAGTGGATGGACAGTGTGAAAAAGAATTATGTGTATAAGTAACTTGATTCAGTCTCGCTGCCAACCCCTGGATTAAGACTGTCATTTTTATATTTCAAAATGTCAAATTATGAAGTTACTTACTGTCTGACTTTCAGAGCGAACAGTGTTGCCGCCTTTGAATTATGACCCAAACCTTGAGTTTACGAAGTCCTGTGATTCCACTCTTGGTTGGCTTAAAACACACACACACACACACCACAATATCAGTTCTAAAAATGTAAGATTGTTTGTAAAAAGTTGCAATATCACCAACTATTGACAATAATAATGAATACTATATAGTTATGGAGAAGTTTGTTTTCATGATATAAAATTACTCATAATGTCATGTATGTTTTTGTTTTACCTTTCATAGATTCACTCCAATGCTGTGTCAGTAGCTGGTGTGACGATTGGCTGAAGCCCACATACAATCACACCAATTTATTGGCAGATCTTAAGTTACCATCTCTTCTTCATGTTGCTCGCTCTGAAGCTGTTGAGGCACTGCATGGACTGGCATTCCAACTTGAAACTATGGAAAGCAAGACTTTGGATTTATCTCTCTTGCTTTTTCCTGATTGTGTGCTTAATATGTCTCAGTGGAGTTTTCATGTGAGGATTTGTGTCCAAATTCAAAAACTTGTAAAGCGATCTCTTTTAGATTTAATGTGTTATCTACCGCCACATCTGACTTTGAGGAGTTCAGGCTGACCTTCGCCCTTCTTTAGCTTATACTGAGCATCTGCATGTAATTACTCATGGTGTAGACATGCTTAAGCTGGATTGGGATGAGTCTGTCCAGCCAGGGGCTCACTCCAAATTGGATGAGCAGTTGTTAGCAGGCTGTAGCGCATTTGCTCTGCAAGCCGCTGCTGAGATTATAGGACCTCCATTGTGAGGTTTTAAGGTCCTGGAACCAGGCTTTCTCTGCATGGATTACTAATTCGACTGCTTCTGTTTTCACGGCCGTTTCTAAGATGGCTGAAAAGGGGTATTCAGAGATGCTGGCAATGGAAGAGACATTAGCGGCTCATCTCTCACCATCGTTGGCCCTCTAATGGAAATTGAGGCCTAATATACCGTTCAAACCTTGTAGGACTGCGTCTGCTTTAATCGGTGAGTCCTATATGGCTGCTGGTTGAGCAAGTGTGCCACTGCACACCATGTCGGTCCTGAAGGGGCACCAGCTGGAGGTCCTTAAGGAGATGGACGATGGTAACAGTTTGACCCCTGAGGCAGTCAAAGAGCTGAGAAGCTGAGAACTCGCTTTGTGATACTAAGCACATGGCTCATGCTATTGGTCTTTCGATGGTGGGTTTGGTAGTGACCGCATGCTATCTCTGGCTAAGGATAAATCCTTCCTGCTAGATGCGCTGATATTTTATTTGGGACTGGAGGCTTTGACAGGACCTCCGTTTGAGGCTCTAGAATCAGCCTTGGATGAGATTATGACTCTCAAGATGATTCTCTTGCTGGACCTCCCTCACTTCTCTTAAAAGACCTGCAAGCTTTGTCAGTGAGCCCTTTATGTTAGGATTTATCTCCTGGTCTAGTTAACGTCCTGCTGAGTCCAATACTTGCCAACCATCCCAAGGTGGTTTCTTCTTCACTTCGCTGGCAGGCTGTTGTTTTGCAATCTTTCACTCCTCCTACTTTTGAGTTGCAGGAGAAGGAGAGGTTGCATAGGCTTTGTCTTTGAAGTTTTGAGCTTTGAGAATTTGCGTTGACCGTAGAAGCCAGTAGCATAAATCTGACTAGTTGTTTGTCTGCTTCAGTAGCATTAGCAAAGGTTTTGCTCCATTAAGTGTTCGTTCACACTCGATGAGTGTTGCTTCTTCACAAGCTTTGACTAAAGAACTATCTTTGAAAGATATCTGTGTGTGGCAGGCTGGGCCTCTCTGCACACTTTTATCACACTTTTATTAGCATTCCCACAGCATTAACTACTGATGCAGCATCTAAAGGAACCTGTGAAAGTGAATGTCTTATATGTATGTGATTACGTATGTAACACTGATTCCCTGAGTAGAGAAGGGCAGTGCTAACGTTATGTTCCAATAAATTGGTGCAATTCAATACAGGCTTCAGACAATCATCACACCAGAGGGTGTGCCCCTACTGTCAGCTACTGACACAGGGAAATAAGGATACCAATGTAACCATACCATCCAACCCTAATATGATATTTGAAATATTGTCATATACTTACTAGAACAACCAGATAGCTTCTCTCCCTCTCGCTTTCTTTCTTGAGTTGTCTTCTCTTTAAATTAAAACATAATAGGGAAACTTCATAGGTTTTTCCAGTACAAAAACATCCTCTGTCATTTTAGACTCCCTAAAATAACACGGAAACAATAAGAATAATCACTGTGAAGCTAAAAATATGCCACCTTGTTAAAATGCACTGCACTCAGTCAGCTGCTCTCTTGCTTTTTCTTTCTTTCTCTGACACACGCACACATGCACACAGGTGTTAATTTGTTGGTAACTTATTTTTAAAGCATGTTTATTTATTACAGTTACAACATGGGCATTGTTAAGTGTCCAATAACTGAAAAGCAACTGCACCCACCTTTAATTGTACTACCTCACCACAAGGAGGTGAACTTCTTGCCAAATCCAGAGATTGCTGTGCAAATCACAGAAAAAAAATGAAAGTAAAAGAGAAAATAGTGAGAATAACATTGGTTATAAAAAGCATCGTACCTGTAAAAATAACCACGTGTTTTTGCAAGTTTGATTGACCCATGTACTATTTAAACTAGTCCGTTAATAGTAACTGACCAAAAATACTAGTTATACCTTGGAAATGCTTTGCTCACCTTCTCCTAATTTGCCAGCTTGCTCTGCAGCTCCTCCAGGCAAAATTTTAGACAGCATGCTCTCTCCATCTACACCCGGCTGACCTGCAGCTGCACTGCCAATTCCACCAGGCCTTGGAGCTGCTTTGGAGCCTAGAGAATTGTGGAGAAGAGATTAAGGTTTACAAATGGAAACACTGTGAACAGACACATATGTCCCTCTGCAATTAGGTAGAGGTCGGATGGCAAATCTGGATAGTAATCCAAGAAAATACTGAACAGGCAGTGGCCACTATTAATGCTAAAGACTGAGTACAGAGCACATTCTACACTGCAAAATTCCACAGCCAAAAAGAAATTGGGACAGGATGTGAGACGTGAGGCCTTTTTTCTGCAACATTTTATAATCTTGAACAGTGCCAGTGCCATTATAAAGAAGCGACTGAGTAGACACCACTTGAAGGATTGCCTCTTTGTGAATATTTAGTGCAACTTTAATGAAGCTTCGCCTACACAGAGGTAACTGGCAACTTAAGAAATTTCTATTGGTCAGCACTGTAAGTTCAAAGTGTACCAAACTTTAACCCAACAAATATGTACAGAGGAATTTCTCTGCCACCAGAAGTTCATTAGGTGAGCTTCATCATCATGAGGATTCTTACTGACATGACTGTAATGATGACATTTGCCATACAAAGAATTAAATTTATCCACAACCATTTTCGCAAATGTTTCTTTTCACGCACTTATGCTTTTTATTGCTCTTACTAAATATCAACACTTTCCAGTATAATTAAACTTAAAGTCAAATCAAGTCAAGTCAAGTCACCTTTATTTATATAGCGCTTTATACAATAAAGATTGTGTCAAAGCAGCTTTACAGTGTTAAACAGGAAAACGTGTGCTGATAATGCAAGTGGACAAAAGAAAACAGTCAGTTTATCAGTTTAAGTCAGTTTATTGTTGATTCAGTGATGTCATTGTCCAGCTCAGTTTAGTTCTCTTCAAATAGTGTTTTGTCTCAACAATGTTGCCAGAAATTGTGTTCGCAACTAAACAAGCAAAAGTCAACAGTGGCAAGGAACCAACACTTCATCGGTGACAGAAATGGAGAAAAAAACCTTGGGAGAAACCAGGCTCAGTGGGGGGGGGGAGACTCAGTTCTCCTCTGGCCAGACGAAACCAGCATGGTGTGGTTTAATTCCAGGCTGCAACGCATGTCAGATTGAGCAGAGGACTCATCTGGTTCCCGTGGTCTTGTGCCGATGGCCGACGAGGTCTTCACAGGGGATCTGTCTCTAGGGTTCATCTAGTTGACATCTGATAGGTCTCTGCTAACATTCAGGGTTGTAGAGGTCATCTCTAGGTGCTGATCCACCATCTGATCTGGATATGGACTCAGTTCTCCTCTGGCCAGACGAAACCAGCATGGTGTGGTTTAATTCCAGGCTGCAACGCATGTCAGATTGAGCAGAGGACTCATCTGGTTCCCGTGGTCTTGTGCCGATGGCCAACGAGGTCTTCACAGGGGATCTGTCTCTAGGGTTCATCTAGTTGACATCTGATAGGTCTCTGCTAACATTCAGGGTTGTAGAGGTCATCTCTAGGTGCTGATCCACCATCTGATCTGGATATGGACTGGATCTGTATGGCTATGGTGACCTCAGAATAAGAATGAAAGGAACTAATATTAGTGTAGATGCCGTTCTTCTTACGATGTAGCGAGTACATCGGGTGTTATGGGAAGTGTTCCTGGTTCCGGTTGACCTAATTAATGCAGCCTAACAATCCTTTAACGGATTTGAATATTAGAAATGCGATAGTGTATTATGTGTATGCCAGGTTAAAGAGATGGTCTTTAATCTAAATTTAAACTGACAGAGTGTGTCTACCTCCCGAACAACGCTAGGTAGATTGTTCCAGAGTTTGGGCGCTAAATAGGAAAAGGATCTGCCACCCGCAGTTGATTTTGATATTCTAGGTATTATCAAATGGCCAGAGTTTTGAGATCGCAGAGTACATGAAGGACTATAATGGAAGTAAAGAAATTCAAAAAGTCATTATTGCTGTACTGTTGGGAAATGTCTGCGCCTCCTGATGCTTTATTTTTTGTTAATTTAGCCACTCTAATTAATAAATACCTGGGGTTGTGTTTGTTTTCTTCTAAATGATAAGTAAGCAGATCTAGCAATTTTTAAGGCTTTTCGGTATGTAGATGTACTTTCACTCCATGCAATACAAAATACCTCTAGTTTTGTTTTCTTCCAACTGCACTCCATTTTCCGGGCTGCTTTCTTTAAGGCGTGAGTGTGTTCGTTATACCATGGTGTCGGACTGTTTTCCTTAATCTTCTTTAAGCATAAAGGAGAGACCGTGTCTAAAATGCTAGAAAAGAGTCAATAGTCTCTGTTACACCTTCAAGTTTTTCTGAGCTATTGGATATGTTGAGGAATTGAGACAAATCAGGAAGCAGTCTTTTGTTGTAGAAATTATGGTTCTACCATATTTATGTACCATACCATGATAAAGTCTTTATGGTGCCCTGTATACAGTAGCTAGTACGAGCGTCACAAGGAATTTATCATTAACACTTTTTACACTAGATAATGTTACATAAAGCACCATTACTTCAAACTAATTATACTTGAAACCAGAGCTCTGAGAAATACTGAAAATATTGCAATAATTTGTAGAAAAACTTCCCCCTTTACCTTTTGAACGCGGCTCATGTTTATAACAGTAATCTTGGGGGGTAGACTCATTTAAAATAATGTAATCATCTGGTTTTAACAAGGTTTCTGTCAAGCACATCTAAGCACATCTAAGTTATGATCTGTGATCATATCATTTACAAAAAGCACTTTCGTACAAAGGGATCTAATATTCATTAAGCCAAGCTTTATCATTTTTTATCTGAATTATATCTGTTTTTTATTTGTTGAAAATTAATTCAATTGTTACACTTAAATTTGTTTGGACGTTTTTTGTATTTGCTGGTTCGGGGAACAGACACAGTCTCTATAGTGTGATATCTAGGTGAAAGAGTCTCCATGTGCTGAGAATTAACTGATTTCTGTGACATGAGGCGGCTAGCAGACGGTCGGTTTAGCCAGTCTGTCTGCTTCCTGACCTGGGCACCAGTTAGTCAAGTACAAACTCTAAGACTATGTGCCATATTTCTAGACAGAAGAGCGGCACCACCCCAGGAGGGATGAAGACCATCTCTTTTCAACAGGTCAGGTCTGCCCCAAAAACTCATCCAATTATCTATGAAACCTATGTTATTCTGCGGACACCACTTAGACATCCAGCCATTGAGTGACGACAGTCTGCTATGTATCTCATCACCACGGTAAGCAGGGAGGGGACCAGAGCATATTACAGTGTCTGACATCGAACTTGCAAGTTCACACACCTCTTTAATGTTATTTTTAGTGATCTCCGACTGGTGAAGTCGAACATCATTAGCGCCGGCGTGAATAACAATCTTACTGAATTTTCGTTTAGCATTAGCCAATACATTTAAATTTACCAAGATGTCTGGCTCCAGTAAACATTGGACTATGGTGGCTGGTGTCTCTATTTTCACGTTCTATACAATAGAATCACCAATAACTAGGACACTTTCAACAGGTTTCTCAGTGGGTGCGTCACTGAGTGGGGAGAACCTGTTTAATGTTTTAATCAGAATGGAAGAGCGGTGTTTTGTCCCGTGACTATGCCGCCTCACAGTCACCCAGTCACCCTGCTGCGAGGGCTCTGCAACCGGAACCGAACTATGTACGGGACTCGCTAGTTGCATCCAAAAACATATCTAAGGCCCTCACATTCTTACTAACCTCAAATTAAAGTTTGGATGTATCTCAAGCTAACAGGCTAACAGAATGCTAAAGTGTTGTACTAGTAGTTTAGATTAAAAAGCGAACCATGTCAAATTAGTTTGATAGATAATATCAGAAATATGGTGAGAATTAAGTAATATTTTAGCAGTTTAAACAAGAAAGTGATAGTAAGATCCAACAGAAAAACAGCTATACAGAGCTACAATCACAAACCACTCAGCAGCACAGCAGACAGGACTGACTTAGACTTAGACATTTTAGACATATTTTTCTAGTACATATTATATTCTTCTAAGTATATAATGTCATTATATGACTGTCTTGCTGGTACTTACATACCAAAACTATTTTTTTAAATAATCCATTTGGTTTTCAGTTTGTAGAAGCTTTTCATTGCAAAGGTCTATATTATCTATCAGTGACATAGGCACAATTTTATTTTTGGCCAGGCCTGAGCACTTTCACTTCACTAGCCTACATATCCTTATAGCCAAAAACAAACTGACTTAATATTCCGACCATTTCAGTCTTCTGTTTTCTTTAAAAAATAAAATAAAAAATCTGACTCACATGATTCACCATGGCTGCTGTCATTGACTTTGAAAACTTTTGACACAGGTATGCTGACATAACCAGTGCATTTATGTGACATGAAATATTCATTTCACAATTTAGATGAGTGAGTCAAAATTACCTGATCATAATATATTGTTGTCATTTTCAATATTAAATCTATAACTCTGAAAAAGGTAAACACTATCCTCCTTTCTTATCAACATTGCTTTGTAACTGCTGGTTCTCTGTCAGGTTCTGCATCTTAGTGTTACTGTATTTGGTCTTGGTGAATTAGATCCATTATGGACGCTATTGCTACTGCTGCTGCAGAGCAGGTATGGATACTTGCAGGGGTGTGAAGTAAGGCATTACAAATACTCATTTAAGTAGTTTTTATCAGATTATTGATAAGTGTCTTGATCAGTGTAATGGAAGTAAAAAGGCATTATCGATAATTTATGATCTGCTCCAATCCTTTATTTCTCCCTCTACAAGTTTTCTTAAGGAACAATGGAAGAAAGAACTAGGAGTGGAAATTTCTGAGGAAACGTGGCAGACGAGTTTAAATACTGTTTGAAGGGCAAATTTGACAAAATCTGGCACCCTTTTCTCTGTTATCTTGATGGAAACCCTACGGACTAATGCATAATTTGCTAATGTAATGTTTTAATATTTCTTCATCATACTTTGCAATTTAATGTAAACAGGTCTGGTAAGGGATGGTTTGTGATGCTCTCTCTCTCTCTCTCTCTC